AACGCGACAAGAATAATCAAACATGTGATGAGATGGAGAAATGAGCAAGATGAAGGCCAATGAAATGATCAATACAAAACCAATGCTTCTCATGCATATCTCGAAAACTTCGACTTAATGGCACATCTCCACGCATCCGAACATTTCGAACAAATGCGTCTCTTTTCATTGTTCAATGAGGATGAAGATGCATTAAATTTTTCCACATTTCCGCAACAACTCCAATAACGAATTCGATTACCCATATTCTGGAATTGCAATATACTCAGTGTGATTATTCGATAGATCGACTGCTGCTAAGAAAAATGGATTCGATGATAGAATACGGTGCACTTTAGTTTGTTTTGGAACTTTACCATAAGCTTTCGTTTGTTATATATCATTGGTCTGTATTTCTGTATGAAAATAGTAACTAAAGGACGACCATCAATCAGGTGAAATAATATGATAAAATAATAATGGTAACCCGAATCTGTGCTGACAGTAATGGATGGAACAATTAACAAAACACAACGATCATCATCTACCAAAATAATGATAATGATAAGTAATTAAAATCTAAGTTCCATCTAAAAAACAAAAATGAAAGCACAGTTTAAAGCTAACATTCGAAAAAACGCTCTAGATTCCAGTAGGAATAAAAGCAAGTAGGGAAAGCCGATCTCAAAGAAGTGTTACTTTAAAGAAGTTGTCGACAATTCTTAAGAAATAATAAATACATTCCACCAAAAACATTCGACATGCCTGTAAATCGTTTTGTGCTATTTCTATTGGTTGCAATGTCGTTTCCGGTTGCCATTTTTCGAGAAGTCGTAACTTTTGCGTGGCACTTAAGCCATTCAACATATCCGGTTTCGTCGCCAATATCACCGACGCCTCGGCACTCAGTTTTCGATCGCTCAGCAGTAAATCACCGATCGGATATGTCCTAGTCAGTGTTGAAATTGCTTTCCACTGTTCAATAAAATTCGGATGTTTCAGTGTTAAATCCCAAATCGCGGCTAACAACGATGACGGTTGTCGTTCCCCTCCCACCCTAATGTTCCCATGCGTTTCATCAGCATCACAACCATTTCTCAACAACGCATCAATCTCCTTGTCGGCAATCGGCATTTGCACTAATAATTCAATCGCACGCTGCAATTCACCAGCCAATAAATGCACGAATATCGCCGGTGCACTCACGATCGCATTTCGTTGCAATTCCGATGATATATTGCTGATCGTATCTGCATCCAGTCGTTGCAAGAAACGTATCAAATTACCATCGTTTATATCATCTGATGATGTTTCTGAAATCCGTATACCAATAAGCAACTCCTTAACGAATACATGATATATATATAAGGCTCTACCTGATGGAACTAAAGCTGTAACTGATGAAAGTCGTGTTGGTATCGCAACACACGGGGAGTCAGCAGTGATCTGAATGGAACGTGGTCCTTTTGGACCTTTTATGATCAATTTTCTTGTTAGATGAGGTGCTGGTAACGACTGTACACCCAGCTGACATTTATCATTTCGACCCCATACAAAAACATTTCCATCTGATGAAATCGCGGATGTAAAATCAAGACCTGAAAACTATTAATTGAGCCAGCCGTATTCAAAGCTAGTAAACCAACGATGACCAAGTAAGTATCTGCTAGAATCTTCAATCGAGGTACGTTGACCAACCACAAGAGACTCGTTGCCATATGACTACGGACGGTTCGAATAGTTGATGTGGTTCCTGTTGTTCTTTTTTATTGCCATGGCCCAACTGCATTTCTAGACCTTTACCCCACGTGTAGATTAATCCACTTTTCGTGATTAACGCTGAGTGACTGTATCCCGCATCCACCGCCATTATATCATCACTGATCTACAAAAATCACTCATCGTCCTCAGTAATCAATGCACGCAACCCGATGAATACATACAAAATACGTACCATGTGTTCAACTCGACTAACACTCAAATAAGATTGACTCGTTTCTAAAGGATTGCTATCAGGCGATTTGTCATTGAGAAGAGCAGACGGGATGTTGCTTGAAGACTGCTCTTGTTGTTGTTGTTGTTGTTGCTGCTGTTCACGGTTGGCTGTACGAACTCGTTTCGCCAAGAAGGCTTTCATTTTAAGAGATAACGGACTGATACCCCATTGATAGATCTTTTGAGACTCACTCACTGCTATTCCATGAAAATATTTCGACGAAATGAGTTTCACCTTTTCCGGAATATCAATCATCGATGGACGATATCTGAACATACGAACACAATAATAACGATCAAATGAACCCAAATTACTTTAGACTGATATTCATTTTGTTCACTTCATCCGCATCTTTTCACGCAAACCACACCAAATTTGATTAAATCTGATCACCAGGTAAAATTTACTAAATGAACTAGCTAAATTACTGGATAAAACATTCGAGATGAATACCACTAGCTAATGATAACTATTACATTGCTACCAATTTTCAACGATATTGAAGATACTGTCAGAATATAGATATTAAAAATTTGGACATGATCATAAGTATTTCCGGATTCAAAGGAAGTGACAAAAATATTCGAATGAAGTTTCTAATTCGCGTTAAAATCTGCAATCACAAACAAAGGCAATGTTCATCCATAACAATCTATAAATCAAGGAAACCCACAAATAAATGTAAACAAACCTCTTTTTAACGTCTTCTCCACATCCCAACTGTCCATAAATACTATTCCCACATCCATACACTATCCCCCTCTCACTCAAAAATATAGTATGGGCATATCCGCAACACACTGCTTTGATCTCTTCACTAAATTATTTGTAAACATGTTACTTCAACAACACAGCAATGCATTTACATGACGAAACTAATCGTGAAGAGCAACATTTTTATTGAATTCGGTACATTTTCGTTAAATTCATTCAGTATCGTGATCACTTGAACAATGTCAAGTAAAACATTCGTTGCATCAAATAATTGAATGAATCCTAAAATGGAACCTACTCAATAGTTTCAACAAGACGGGGCACAGTGATATCCTCAAATCGATCACGCGTTTCATGCCCAAGCTGTCCATGTATAGCCCAACCCCATGTGAAAACCCGTCCTTTTGAGTCTATTAATGCTGAGTGATAGTGACCAGAACAAATAGAACGTATTCCTTCAAACGATCCTCGTACACGAGATGCCTCGCTAACTTCTCTTTTGTGACCCACTCCGCATTCTCCAAATCTTCAATTCATCAAAATTCCAACTTTTCACATTCATATAGTTTCTTGAATACAACAATATGTTTGTCATCTAAAAATTACGTTTGTTGAAACGAATGGTTATGGCAATAATCAAACAAGCACAAAATCTGAAGCTTCACTGATGGCGAAACCTAATCTTTTAGAGTTTCATTGAAACAACAAAGATTTATGTATTTAATCAGCAAATAAAATTAATCAACAACAANGAAATGAATGCTTATGCGACTAATCAAACAAGCACAAAATCTGAAGCTTCACTGATGGCGAAACCTAATCTTTTAGAGTTTCATTGAAACAACAAAGATTTATTTATTTATGTATTTAATCAGCAAATAAAATTAATCAACAACAAAGATTGCTCATTACGAATCAAAGCATTGCAAAATCTGACACAGAGCATTAAATTCATTCCAAGTATTCACCTGTTTTTGCCGAATGAATAAAGATTACCATACGTGGTTAGGCATAGGACATGTTCAGTACCAGCTGACACGCTACACACACGTTCAGGAACATTTATTTGACGTGGCAGCGCATATCGATTCGCCACAATCTTATTTCTTTCAGCATCCTTCATTTTCATACTTCCAGCCGAAAATTCACCGATAAATATCACAGATTCATCTTCAGAAATCAACGTTATGCAATTTGAACCACACGAAAGTGGTAGATTCGAAGGCAACGATGTGTACTAAAAATTATGGCTGCTCATTACAGATAATCGCTCACCTCTATACACAACTCAGGATTAGTCCGCAAATCGATTTCGAACAATTTCAATGAAAGTTTATTGAGGAGTGCCGTCAAAGATACGTAATGAAATATATTCTCAACTAACGTCGAATGACGGTGTTGCATCCAATAAACGCAGTGTACATAAAGCATAAAGCGCTGCACCGGTCTGGTGGAATCTGAACATTAACATTCATTAAACAACAACAAAACATTAAACTTTCAACTTTCAGCTTTCTCAGATTCTCGTGAAGGTTTACGCTTTGTTATTTCTTATGTATGACGATTCTGTGTATGTTATTCGTCCTGAAATTCAAATAAAATTCGACCCATTATAGAAGAACACAAATTTTCTTCTTCCCATTTCATTTTCCACCTTCCGCAAACTCGGATCCGGGTTCTGCGCTTCTGGTTATGGCAACGCTTTTATTCCAATGCCACGCTAAACGGGTATGATGCATAACAAAATTATACCAACCTATTCATTTGTCCTTCACCAATCCTCGCAAAGGAAACGATATGCGATAAGGATCGTAGATGCGGTAAATAATTGATCATTCTTATCAGAAGTTGTTCAGCATTTGGAGATAAGTCATTCCAAGAGATGCCATTCAATGTTCTTACAAGGTGTGACACCTTATCAACGGGCCATTCTAATCCATCAGAACACAAGAAATTAGCAACGCTCTCCGAGTGTTGAGTTGCACTGCGTGAGACCATGATCGCAACGCATGACCATAGACCATTTCTCAACAGTAATTCAATACCATCGCTTATATCCGTATGTTCAGCCAGAAATGTTCTTAATTATTAGATTAATTAAGCCAATTACTGATTGATAGACCGCAAGTCCTGATAGTATTTATAACAAACAACATCTAACTTCGTCAAATCCCGAAAAAAAATTATTCTAATAAGGTGGATCATTTTCGTTAGCAAGCGTGTTAGTTGTTTTATAATATGACTAATAATATTCGATAGTCTCATGCTATCGAACCACCTGAATTATTCGAAAGAATTTAGGGTTATGAGAACACAATCGTAAATTTGGCCATCATTTTAACAAAAATGAAAGAACCTCAAATCACGTTCGATATTATCTCTCTCAGATTCATTCTTTCTCAGTTTTGATATGTATAATTCAACAATCGAATGTCTGCATTCATCACTTTTGTTCGTTGCACATCGTTCTAAAACCGTTGGTAATAATGCATCACCTGCATCATACTCATTGAATATACGAATTATGTTGCCAATATCCATCTGCAATATATATCATTAACGTCCAACTTGTTGCAATGTTCTCAATAAATCATCCTACTCAAGTTATTGATAAGAATATACAAAAACTCGGTTCTCTCTCTCACACTCACTCATATATCCTATGGTGGAGTATGTGCACTCACTCAAAGTGTTTTATAAGAGACAAAACAAAAATTGCAATAAAGTGAACAAAAACATTGCGATTGCTAATGTCACCTGGGCACTGAAAGCTAATTTAATGATCGCTTGGATATCACTGGACCTATCCATAGCAGTTGTTGTTGTTGTTGTTGCTGCATTGCTACTATTCATCAATCTCAACGCATTTCGTACAACCATCGTACATAATTTTAAACGTTCATACTTCAAACGTGTCGCCAAATAATCACAATAGTGCATTTCGTAATGATGTCGAGCGATGAATTCAACCAATACCTCATCCAATGTTCTATAAAATGTTATACTTTTTCATTCGCTGAGAACGTGAAAAAGAAAGACAATGAAGANTCATCCGGTAACTTCACTTCCAATTCATCATAAACTATTTCAGTGAACGATGACAACAGCTAAACTGTTAATTAATCATCAACTGCTTTCTCGCGACGACACCATCAAATTATTGAATTTTAGAAAGTGGTACTATACCACTTTTGATATGACTACATAGCACTTTTTCTATTTCGATCTCACTACAACCATTGATTACTATTAATTGTGATCGCTTCTAAGGCGTATTTCATAAGAGGCATGACAACACCAACCCCGAAATGAAGAGCCGTTTTCATAGAAGTTTGATCGCAGATCGCAAATAAGGTATTCGAGGTGAGATGCACCAACCACGTATTCTCAGGAACATTACTTTCGTAAGTGCACTGTTTCATTGAGATATCATCAAATACCTCAAATGTATCAATGTATCATTTACTTATGTAGACATGCCTTTATGTAAATAAAGATTTAGTTTTATCGGATGGACTAGTAGGACGCTTAGAAATTTATTGCATTTTTTCGATAGCAAGTAGTGTTTTCGGTGTTCCGGACAGTAATCAAAAAACGTTTTTCACAAGAATATGAATTTTGGAAATCGAAATATTCTCACAAGAATATGAATTTCTCGAGACGGAAACTAATGACAAATTCAGAACGGATTTGTTATGTCACGGAAGCAGAAGTGCAATCTGACAACGACGCTGATAATCAATTTGAGTGTTCTGTTTCTGTATCACAATGATAAAAGAGATGATGCATACTTCGCAGTTAACAACTTAAGGCTCATTCAACTAAACAGCATTACCTGTACTTTGTGATTGACAATATCCAAAAAACACAACT